GAAGAGGTTGCCAGGTTTTCACAACAAAACCCGCCCAATCGCGTTTCGAGGGGGTCCCCGTTAAAAATCGCTAAATATAATCGGCTAAATATCACGTTAATGGGGTCATTTTTCAACCCACGGACATGAAAAACAACCCGCGGGAAAACCCCGGACTTGGCAACACTGGAAGAGGATAGCTTTCGTATGGCGCATCAAGAACCGGGTTGACCGGGTACTCGGTACCACCGGTACTTAAAAAAACCTGGTACCGTAACGTTTTCATTTTTTTAGTACCGACTTGGTACCGAAATACCCGGTCTTTTGACAACACTAGTCTGTTATTACAGATCGTTTGATATGTACTGAGTATTTATGCGTTTTAAACCTAAATCACAGCAGAATCCATCTATGAAGGATGTAGGCAAACATACATAAGTGTTAGCCAATCATAGCAGTGGGCATTTACTTCCGAGTCTACAATCCACCACGCCTATTCAAACAGAGCGTTCTGATGAGGGGGGTTAAAAACAGAACAGAAAATAGCCTTTTACTTCTAAATAGTTTTTCATGTAAAAATCTTGATAACATTATAAGTGGACTTTAGAGAACAGTACAAAAGGCAGTTCATGACCCCTTTATTGTGGTTGTGTAGATTGAACTCCAATGTAAAATGTGCATGTGCTGTTTTATTCAGCTTTATTCAGCCTCAGGGGTCCTATAATCTGGAGATGTTTGTGTCATTGATTTTGTGTAAAGTTTTAAAGTCTTGCTCAAGACTTGCTCAAGCCACATGTGTACAGGTTAACGATTCAGAGAAAATTTTTGAAGGCATTTTTGCTACACCAGTAAAAAGATGTGTATTCAATGTGTTCCTATGAAGGGTCACCCTCAATGAATATACATCCTCTTTCAAAGAGGCCTATGTTGGGAAACGGATATAAATAAATCCTAAATATAAAGTGAGATTAATCCATAGCACTTCCAGGCAGGATTAATGCATGATTAGTCTCTATACATAATATTTTACAGTGAACTACATTTCAATTGAAAATATGTATAATAATAAATAATAAATTTATTTCTTTAAGATGTACCAGATATACATGTTTAATCTTGCCTCTTTGTGGTGAGGGGATAAAGCTAAACTCTGCTGTCCGGTTTCAATCCTCCCTTCTTCAGGTCCACATCAAGCCACCTTTCCAAGCCCCCCTCATTTCCTGCTGTTGTGCTTGTTTATTAGTGTTTGATCTGATACGTTCGTGCGTTTACTGCACCTGGTCTTGTGCGCTTGTTTTGAAGCTCAAGCATTAACAAAGCTTCCTCTCGAGCGTTTCTACCATGCTAATGGCAGGGTTTGATCAAAGCAAACGCTGCATGATGGATCAGCCCATTTACTCCTGACAGAGATCATCCCAGCCTCAAGGCCTTGGAAAGAAGAGGATCTGACAAGGACGTCTGAACGTGAATGTTGGGAAGAAGCCCTGCATGAATGACAGCCATAAGGATGCAGCACTTCGCCCCTGCCAACATTCAGAAGCAAGTAACCCAATCTGAGCTTGAAGGGATATAAATAGAGCTGTGCTCAGAGGGTGAGTACTGGCCAAGCCGACAGCCTGGCCAGCTGAGCCATGACACTGCACAACAACCTTTGCCCTCATCCAACCACACACACTAACACACTCTCCAGCTCCCGACCACCTTTTTTGGTCACATGCCTTCCATGCCTGTCGTGTGTGGAGTAGTGAGCAAAAAAAGCTGGCTGTGAGCACCACCCTTCTGGGTAACTAGTTTAGTCCCTGATGGGCCACATGCTCTGGTTTGGACAAGCCCATGATCCTCTGAATGCTGGAACTTTCACTGGATCTCGGCCCTGCTGTCCGCTGCCTGTTCTCATTCTCGCAATGCATAAACAGACCTGCGAAGAGGGATGCATTAAGAGAATGAGAGAAACCGTAATTTGACCTATCCCATGACCCTGCTTGTAATATTGGTAGGCAAACCTTGACTTACTGTTGGTTAGTAGCCTACTGGCTTTTTTTGGGCTTCGCTAGGTCAAGGTCCCAGGCGGTGATCGCATAGCTTATGAAGCGGCTCCCATTTCATTTGTCTAATGGCTTATTTGGGCTTGTAATACATTTCAGTGGCTATTCCTGGAGTCATGTAATGGTCTTACGGTTGAGGTTTGCCCAAAGCAGCTTAAAGCTGCTACACACTTTCTAATCCTGCATTTAGATGGGGAAACAGACTCATGAAAAATGTATTTTGTCTTCTGTCTTAGTAGTAATCAATAATACATTTTTCCTCTGGCCTTGAAAGTTTTGCTAAGCTCTTTTTAAAAGAGCATTTTGTGTGCATTCGGTGGTTCTGAGGTACACTCTTGTGCTTGATGTCTGTGTGTGTGCTTGTCCTGAGGATGAGGTAAAGATAGCCAAAACCAGTTTGTGTTTTTCTTTTCAAGCGTGGTTCATGGAAGAGATGATACTCGAGATGAAAGTTGATGCAGGAGCTTGAGTTACCGTCCAGACACACCCCATCGGTCTGCGTAGCCTATTTGTCCAGAAGCCTTTTTTTGACATTCTTACTCTTTCTTTTAGGTATTGCTCCTCCTGTAATGTTGGAGATCATTTGATAGGAAACTTTCATTCCTGCTGTATTTCTGAGCCACCCCTTCACTGAAATCCTAGTCATGCTCACAACTCGTTGCTTGAGAATGAAGATTGACCAATATTATTACAGCATTTGTTACAAAAATTATGCTGTTCGTTTGAACTTTCTGTTCGTCTAGGAAACCTGATGTATCTCTGTGTTCACAAAAATATTAAGAAGCATGACTGTTTTCAACATTGACACAAATTGTTCTTGAGCACCAAATTAGCATATTACAATGATTTTTGAAGGATCATGTAACACTTAAAGGGATAGTTCACCCAAAAAGGAAAATTCTGTCGTTGCTCACCTTCATGTCGTTCCAAACCTGTAAGACCTTTGTTCATCTTCGGAACACAAATTTTGGATTATTTTAAGGATCTCTTTGCTACCTTTCTGAGCATTGATCGTGTAAGGATCCTTGCTGTCTATGGGAGGGTCAGAGAGCTCTCGGAATGCATCATAAATATCTTAATTTGTGTTCCGAAGATGAACTAAGGTCTTACAGGTTTGGAACGACATGGGGGTGAGTAATCGCTATCACTTTAAGACTGGAGTAATAGCTTCTGAAAATTCAGCTTTGATGTCGAAGTAATAAATTCAGTAAAATATTAAATAAAAAAAAACATTTTCTTTTAATTCATTTCATTTTTGGTGAACATAAGAGACTTTAAGAAAAGAATGGGAGTGTTTGTGTATATTGGGTAACAACGTAGTAATAAGACAAACAGTAAATCATTTTTTTTTTATTAACCACATATCATGTAATAAGTGTCATCACTTAGCTTTGCGTATACAAAGTTGTCTTTGGTAAACACTTTTATGTTTAAGTTTAGACAGTACTGATGAAGTAGAAACTTCATGAGGCATGAGCGTTGGTTAGAAATATCTGTAAAATTGTTTACCAGTTGATTTCAAAGTTGTCCCCAGCAGGTTCAAAGCATCCTTTACTATTCTGCTTTTGGGGACACACCTGCTGCACAAGCACAAATTATGCATTTTATGGCAAATACTACTACTTTAGTGCCTTGCATTGTGGGTTGTGATGTTATAGGTTAAGTTAACCAGTGAAGTAAATCAGTACATTCCACTTCTACAAAGAATTTCTCATTTAGCATCATCCTGAATGTTTTACAATGTACCCTGTTTTTTAATCGCTGCCTGCTCACTAATTTATGACTGATGTAGTAGTCTTCTAATGCTCGTGTTCACTGTATTTAATCAGTCTTAATGAACGTAATTGCTGAGGCTTGTCTGAAATATCGAGTTGCTTTTTGATGAGCTTTTGACAGTTTGTCTGTTATTATCTTCGTATCTGCTGTTACAGTAGCCTTTAGATCACGTCAAGATCTGTCAGTAACTCGGCAGATGTTTGTGGCTTCCACAGCCTTCATTCTTATCTCGTGCATTTGTACACGCACTGTTTTTATGAACAAAAGAGGATTGATGACTTTGTGTAATGCTAAAGAACATTGTTGTCAGTGCTACGGCTTTGCTGGTGTGCTGAAGTGTTTGTTTGGATAATGTCCTGAAAGGCCAACCAGTGATTGTTGATTTAAATGGCCAGTTACACATTTAGTTATAACAACATGCTTTTGTTTAAAGGGTTAGTTCACCTAAAAATTACAATTTTAATTTACTTACCTTTGTGTTGTTCCAGACCAGGTAGCCAAAACTTAAAAGATCCAAAAACGGTTATAAAGATGTCATAAGAGATATGATCTTGGATTAGACCGCTCTATTCTTATGGTTTCATTTTATGCCGCCCCTATGACTTTTTTGGATCTTTTAAGTTTCGGACACCTAGACTTTCAGTGGAGGGACAGAAACCTCTCAGGTTTCATTTTAATGTGTGTTTTGAAGATGAACTAAAGCCTTACGGTTTTGGAATGACATGAGGGTGAGTATATGATGACAGAACTTTCATTTTGGGGTGAAGCATCCCTTTAACTTCTCAAGCAGCACTTTGTTATTGTTGTAATATGTACATAAGTTTCTCATATAGCTTTTTCTCATGTAAAGCAACATTTGCATCCCTCTTTCTCTTGCAGACGGTGTCCTAAGCCATGGGGGCCTTCTTGGACAAACCGAAGACAGAGAAACATAATGCTCACGGAGCGGGCAACAGTCTACGCTTTGGCCTGAGCAGCATGCAGGGCTGGAGGGTTGAGATGGAGGATGCACACACGGCCGTTGTGGGTCTACCGCATGGCCTGGACGACTGGTCCTTCTTCGCAGTGTACGACGGTCACGCTGGCTCCCGCGTAGCCAACTATTGCTCCAAACACCTGCTGGAGCACATCATAACCAGCAGCGAGGACTTCCGTTCGGGGCCCGACTCCGTGGAGGGCGTTAAAAGTGGCATTCGTTCTGGCTTCCTGAAGATCGATGAGTACATGCGCAACTTCTCGGACCTTCGTAACGGCATGGACCGTAGCGGCTCCACGGCAGTTGGCGTGCTGGTGTCCCCTGAGCACCTCTATTTCATCAACTGCGGAGACTCCCGTGCTGTACTCAGCCGCGTCGGACAGGTACGGTTCTCCACACAAGACCACAAGCCGTGCAACCCTCGTGAAAAAGAGCGCATTCAAAACGCAGGAGGTTCTGTGATGATCCAAAGGGTGAATGGTTCACTTGCTGTGTCACGTGCCCTGGGGGACTATGACTACAAGTGTGTGGATGGGAAGGGCCCCACTGAGCAGCTGGTATCGCCGGAACCGGAGGTGTTTGAAATCCCACGTGTTTCAGAAGAGGATGAGTTTGTGGTGCTCGCCTGCGATGGCATCTGGGATGTGATGAGCAACGAGGAGCTGTGTGATTTTGTGCGCTCTCGGCTAGAGGTGTGGGATGACTTGGAGAAGATCTGCAACTCTGTGGTGGACACCTGTTTACATAAGGTGAGGAGATCACAGCAGAAGTCTCAAAAGCATAGTTCATCCAAATAATTTACATAATGTCATTTACTCACCCTCATTAACTTTTAGTCACCTTAAACATTTAGGAGATAAATTACTTCAAAATCGCTTGTTGAAGAAGTGCTTCTGTGACTCTAGTGATCTTGATTGTATTTGTGCCATAAAATATGGCTGTTCTTGAAGAATATTTTTAGAACTACAAAATACATTTTGATTCAACCTACGGTATAGGGCTGGGTAAAAAAATATTGATTTCTCAATTTTAATCGATGCTCATTCTAGCCTTTTTTCATTTAACGAACGGAACATTGAAGCGAACCTCCCATCCAATAAATCACAAAAAGCTTTGTGCTTTGTTACTTTTGACATGAAACTTGACATTGTCACATTTCAGATTCTGTCCATTTTATTACAGTATTCGAACAATAAATGCCATTTTGGTGCTGTTTAATTTGGAGTGACAGATCGCTGTGGCGCCTCTGTTTAAGAGAAGCGTGAACTCTGGAGAGGAGCATTTTGCTAAATATATGCACCATATAACACATTCATTATAATTTTTATTACTGTTCTTCAGTTTAATTTCTTTAAATAAATCCGTCAAGTTTTTATGACAGCCACCATTTAAATGTTTAAATTTCCAAAAATGAATTGGAGTAGAAATATAATTATGTAATTGTAACTTTATTATAAAAACTTCATTGAGTTGTATACAAATAATTTATAATATATATAAGTATATTATATAAGTATAATATACTATTTATAATTTTAACCTTCAGTATTATAGTAATGTAGTACTAACTGACTCTCACGTATATTTTACAGCATTAGTGGAGATGTTTTTTTTCCTTGAGAAAATTTGGAATGTACTGTACTTGATGTAGCCTATATACAAAGTAATCAACATCAAATCGAATTGGACACTTGTGAATCAGAATCAAATAGAATCGTGAAATTTGTGTCAAAACCCAGCCATACTACGGTAACAAAACGTCACAATTTCATAATTTTTTAAAAATAGTTAATTTTAGAACCACTGACTCATTAAAATGAAACTATTCGCCAGGGTCGTATGTAGGGCTGTAGCTATCGATTATTTTAGTAATCGAGTATTCTGCAGATTATTCCATCGATTAATCGGAACACATTTTTCTGCAACATGAAATTAGAGTTATTTGGAGAATAAACCCTCTTAAATGTCTCTCTACATACTGGTGTGTGTGTGTGTGTGCAACTTGTTTTTGATATCCTTCATATTCTGTGTGCTGGTCAGTTCACAGCAGTGATAGAAATTAAATCTGTTCCAATAAGTTTAATTTGATTTTTACATTTTATGGACATTTTTACCTTTATAAAGCCTTTTTTTTTTCTAAAAGTGTGCATCATCTTTTGAGTCAAATTCTTACATTTAATCAGTCAATTAGAATAAAAGACATTTGGGCTGTTACCAAACAAATTATATCAGTATAAAAATTCATCTTTGCAATGTAGAGGAAACAGAAGCTACATGGGATGAATTTCCCACACAGAGGGACATGAATGCATTTAACCTGCAGTTAAAAATATACATAAATAATGTTTTGTTATTTTAAACATAAAACATTGAATATTGATATTTACAATTATTTTTAAAACGAAAAGATCCTTTAAATGTGAAATTAAAACCGCCAGCAGGTGGCAGCAAGTCACTGTTAAGAAGTGAGTCATTGCGATT